GTGCTAAATGACCTCCTGTTTCAAAAACAACCAAATATCTCCCTCTACAATTATCCTCAAGAAGAAACTGGTGTGTGTGTGTGTGTGTGTGTGTACACACATACATACATTCATTCGTTTGTTTGGAGACAGGGTTTCTCTGTGTAATAATAGCTCTGGCTGTCCTGGAATTCAGTTTGTAGACCAGGCTGGCCTCGATTTCACTCCTACTGCCCGGCTCTGAATGTATTTTTTTTTTATTTTGAACAAAGAAGTCATTGTCCAATTCAGTTACACTCCTAAGGTTCTAAGTTATTTACTAAATATCTTATCAAATATTATTTTGCAGTGAAAGAGTTTAATTTTATTTGACCACTATATCAGTAATACAAGGTATGCTTTCATTTTATTAGGTAAAAATAAGGTGAGTTGACTCAGAACATGCAGGTAGAAATTTTTGCATGGGTGAGTTTGTGTGTGTGTGAGGGGTTGTGGATGTGTGAATAAGGACAAGCTGAAGCCAGAGGTCGAATTCATGGGTCCTTTCTCAGGGACAGTCTTTTTTTTTCCTGGGATGGAGATGGGGGAGGGCACGATGCAATGACCCTCTGTTGTGGCCTCGATGGAAAGATGGGGAGACAAAGAGCCTACAGTATCTAGTTATCTCAGGCAATCTCCCATCCAAGTACTAATTAGGCTCTACTTAGATCAGAAGAGATACATGGAAGACGCCGTGATATAGCCATAGACTTTATTTTTAATTGATTCATTGTAGGTTTCACATCATGGATCCCGATGCCATCCATATCCCAGTCCCTTCATATCTGCCCACCACTCTTGCAACCTTCCTACTTTACTTTTCTTTTTTTAAGGCTGGCTCTCAACTTGAACTGGACTTGCCTATTAGGATAGGCTGACCAGCCAGAGAGGCCCAGGGACCCACCTGTCCCCACTCCATCCCCACCCCCAGTTTTGGGTTTATAAGGGTGCGACGCTGCCATGCCTACGTTTTCAATTTATTTATTTATTTTTGGTGGGTTCTGGAGATCTAACTTAGGCTCTTATACTCATTTATCAACTAAGCCATCTCCCCAGCCCATTTTTGTGTATAGAGCCCAGGTTGTTGGAGAACTCATGGCCATGCTAATGCTGGGGTTATGAAGTGGGCTTTGCTCATCCAGTAAAAATTCAAATACAAAGAAATCCTGAACTGGGTGTGGTAGCACAAGCCTTTAATTCCAGCTGGGGTGGTGGGGGGGACAAACACAGGAGGATTGGTGCAAGTTTGAAGCTTGCTTGATCTGCACTGCCAGTTCCAAGTCATCCAGGGCATCCTTAGGGAGGGGCTGTCTCAGTCAGTTCTGGTAGATAGTGTCAAGCATTGTGGATGAAAACCTGTTTTTACTTTCAAGGTTAGTAGCACATTGAATATTAAGGTACTTTTTAAATTCTTTATTAAAAGTGTCTTCTTTAAGCAGGTGTGGTAGTACATATCTCTAACCCCAGCCCTTGGGGGCTGAGACCAGAGGGATCCAGGTTAGTAGGGGCTATGTAGAGAAACCTGTGTCTCAAAACAGAACAAAGCATCTGGGGGTGGGGGCTTTAAGTTTTTTATAATTCTCTACTAGCTCTTTATCTATTCTTTTTCTTCCACACCCTAGTCTCTTTCTTTCTAGTAGGGTTCCTATTGCTGGCTACCCAGCCATTACCATCATAATACCATTTAAGGTAGCTTGGCTGGATCTATTTATTCTGAGTCCTACAATCTACTTTCTCTTTTAGCCTTGCTTCCTAAATCAAGTTGACAACCCAGTTTATTTTTCCTTCTTTTATTTCAACAACTCCTGATTTAGATTGGTTAGGAGACTATAATATAATCCGGGCACAACCTCTCCCCCTTGGAATCTGTATTTACGAGGCTTCCTCCTTTCCTGGCTGAACGTGCTGAAGCCGGGCAGAGTACCTTGTGAAGGACTTCAGCCCCCACAGTTCTCTGTGTGCGCATGCTCACTCTTCTTACAGTTGTCAAAGTGCTTTTCCAGAGCGGTCACATAATCAACCCGAAAGAAGAAATAAATACTGTTCATTTTTCAATTTTTATCGATCCCTAAAAACTGGACACTTAAAGGTAACTGCTGCTATGGATTTATTACTTGAAATTGGGTTACTGCATGTAAAAGCCGATCTATTGTGTGTGGTGGGGGAGGGGAACAGGCATCTATTTCTTAGACTTTGCTGTATATAAGCAAAAAACCTTCCAAATCAAATTATGCAGGCAGTTATTTAAGGATACTGCATACTGACTTTGTAAATTTTATCTTAATCACTAACTTAGCTTTTGTTTAAAAGATCTTATTTATTAAAAGGTGGATCTTGACCTTGACAGTGAATTTATACAGAAAGTGAAATTTGTATTATTTTTAAAGAGCATTGAGAAAAGAAAGGGGCATTTTCTTATAACAGTGAGAATTTAATGAGGTGGCATTACTACTAATGCTATCATAAAACATTCTGAGTCTAGGTTACTTTTTTGTTGGGGAGTGGTGATAAAGTACAGCATTTTTTTCCCCCACGAAGAGCATTCAGTTTAAGCTGAAGGCATTAACAAAAAGTGTTGAATACAAACAACAAGAAAAGCTGGGTGATACTAAATATAACCCAATACATATTTCAGCCATGATGATATAGCTATTGTAAAGAAAATTCTAGATCACCAAAACACTCACATTCCAGGAGTATAATGGTCTACTGCAGCCCTGTAAGAAGGAAGTATGAAGATGTCTCTGTGCCTATCCTCTTTGGCAGTGATGGAACTTTGTGCTGTCTGAATCCAAGGTTCACTGTCCTCTCTGTGCTCTATTTATAATACTAATCAAAGCCATTGTTTTAGATAGAGGGAACTGAGGAACATAAAAGCAATCTAAAGCAAGCTTTATTGATAGCAGCAGGCAATCCCTGGTGCATGTATATTATACTGGGCTGGGTTTTTTCTAGGGGAGGGGAAGAGGCAGGGAAGAGAGGAATAAAGGCAAGTGATGTGATTGAGAAGTGAAATGTTTCCCTAAGCCCACTGTGCTCTTTGTACATGAAACTGAAATGAAAGATGGCATCTGTTAAGCATTTTAATGATGGTTTTAATAAAACAGAACAGTTGATCCAACTTCTTGTCTGGTATCCTTTGTATAATATTTAAGAGAAATGATGCCTCCATTTTAAAAATTGTTATCTTTAATAGTCCAAAGACAGAGCTGTTGTGTGTATCTGAATGCCCTTTTACAAATGTCCCAAGAAAGATGTCTCTCCAGTATGTGAGTTAATTAACTGTATTAAATATATTAATAATGCCTTTGCAATTGTACTAAATCATCTAAAAATAATTATATGTTTGGTCATAACTCCTTTAACATTTCAAAATATTTGTTTTCAAGGTCTCAGCCCTGTGATAGTCAGAAATTTAAGGCAATTAACATATTCTGAGACAAGTTAATCCAGTGAAAACTACACACATGGAAATCTTTTGGTTTTGAGTGGTTACTGTTTTCATCCTTGAGTAAGAAAACAGGTTGTATGACAGAGGTGAATATAGCTCTTCTATGTGAAGTGGAAAATACCATACACTCCTTATATGGCTAAATGAAGCAGTGAGGGTAATGTACTATAATTACAATGTATGAGAATTTGGGACTTTGTACTCCTCTATTTTTAACAGTTGCTAGCATATGGTAATTCAGGGTCGTCAAACCATAGTCTTTCACTGTTAATACTAGTGATAAAAGAATGGATTCTAAATTTGCCAGTCTTGTGACCTAGGCAGCAGCAAGAGGATTCAAAAATGAAAATCTGGCAACCCCAGAATTATCTTGACTGTCTACTTAAATCTCAGATGCATTTTTAAAGTCCCGCCCCCACTCCATCTCACAGACTCCCTCCCTCCCCTCTCCCCACCTCCCTCCCTCTGACCTCAAATCCAACCAGAAGCATTTCTCCACTCTGCAGAGAATTTCTCAGGCTCCCATTGAGACCTGAACCGCCAAGAAGCCAGGAAATCTCTTGGGCGGCAGAATTGGAGACGAGAAAATTGGACAATAGGCAGAAACACCACAATCCTTAGAGTAATAAGAAGCAAACACGTCTAAACGTTTCAGTAGGTTTTCTTTTCTTTTTTCTTTTTTTTAGTCAGGTTTCATTTATACCAGGCTGGATTCGAACTGGTTAAGTAGTCAAGGCTGACCTTGAATATTTGATCCTTATACCTCTACCTCCAGACAACTAGGATTGCTTGCGCCACCACGCCCGGCGATTTGCTTCTGTTTAAAAACTGGGTTTTCTTTTATATTAAAGCGTCTCCTAACAAAATGGAGTAGTAGCTGCCGCTACTGGGAGGCCACAGAATGATTGTGCAGCTGAGTTCTTCCAACAAACGCCTAAGATTTCCTCTCGTGGTTCGCTGCAGCCAAACGAAACAATTATCCGCGGCAAGAAGGCAGTTTGTTAATCAAGAGGGCTGTCTTTTTCTTGTTGGTTTTTTTTTTAAGTGCTCCAGCTGGGGAAGGGGAACGAGAGGGTCGTTTACCCACGTCTTTTTAACCTTGCTGAAGGACGCAGCACTATTTATTGACGTATGCAAATAACTGGGGGAGGGTGGTGCTTGGGAAAAAACAGGAACCAGAATCAGTTTCTCATCGCAGGGTGAACGCTCTGAGTTCCGGTGAAGGGGAAAGAGACGTGGCGAAATTGCTGTCTCTCTGTCTTATAAGCACATCTCTCACTAATACAGAAAAGGGACCGAGACGTCAGAAAGGGTGAAGACGCTCTCACAGTGTTTTTAGAGATCTTGCTCGAGCCCTCCTACCCCCGCCCCGCAGCCCGACCTGCTCTTCTAAATGCGAGATTATGGATTTGCATTGCAATTGGCTAGTGGCGGTGGCACTGGATTTTCGCAAGTAAAACACCCGCCCGCTTCAGTGAGGGCATTCATGATCACACTGACAATAACGCATCTCTCTTTCTTCCCGTTTCAGCTGCGCAAACCATGCAGGATGATTTACTGATGGACAAAAGCAAAACCCAGCCCCAGTCTCAGCAGCAGCAGCGGCAGCAGCAGCAGCAGCAGCAGCAGCAACAGCTCCAGCCCGAGCCCGGCGCAGCCGAAGCCCCGTCCACGCCCCTCTCCTCAGAGACCCCCAAGCCCGAAGACAGTAGCGCAGTGCCGGCCCTGAACCCCGCCTCGGCCCCGCCAGCCCCCAACGGCCCCGACAAGATGCAGATGGAGTCGCCGCTCCTGCCGGGCTTGAGTTTCCATCAGCCCCCTCAGCAGCCGCCGCCGCCGCCGCCGCAGGAGCCCGCGGCGCCCGGAGCGTCGCTGTCGCCGTCCTTTGGCAGCACCTGGTCCACGGGCACGACAAACGCGGTGGAGGACAGCTTCTTCCAGGGGATCACCCCGGTCAACGGGACCATGCTCTTCCAAAACTTCCCGCACCACGTCAACCCGGTCTTCGGAGGCACCTTCTCCCCGCAGATCGGCCTGGCGCAGACCCAACACCACCAGCAGCCGCCGCCGCCCGCGCCGCAGCCTCCGCAGCCAGCGCAGCCCCCGCAGGCGCAGCCCTCTCAGCAACGCCGCTCGCCCGCCAGCCCCAGCCAGGCGCCCTATGCGCAGAGGAGCGCCGCCGCCTACGGCCACCAACCCATCATGACCAGCAAGCCGTCCTCATCTTCGGCCGCTGCGGCTGCTGCTGCCGCGGCCGCCGCCTCCTCGGCCTCGTCCAGCTGGAACACGCACCAAAGCGTGAATGCCGCCTGGAGTGCCCCGTCCAACCCGTGGGGTGGCCTACAGGCTGGTCGGGACCCTCGCCGCGCTGTCGGCGTGGGCGTGGGCGTGGGCGTGGGGGTACCCTCCCCGCTCAACCCCATCTCGCCGCTCAAAAAGCCCTTCTCCAGCAACGTGATCGCGCCACCCAAGTTCCCTCGTGCGGCCCCGCTCACCTCCAAATCCTGGATGGAGGATAACGCTTTCCGGACCGATAATGGTAACAATCTGTTGCCTTTTCAGGTAATGCCCCTGTGCTCTGGCACACGCCTTCTTCCCACCCGTTTCTCCCCGGTTCCTGGTTTTTAAAAATCGGTCCACCCACTGTTATTTAGAAGGAATGGCAAATTGCAGATCCCCTGAAATCTTCTGGTTCACTGGAACTATTCCACTCAATCTGTGTGGGGGTGGGGTGTGTGCTTGGGGGAACATTGTGACTGCTTGCGGGTAGAAGGCCTTTTTTCCTTCCAGTCCATTTCCTCCTTCGCTGTGCTGTGCTGTGCTCGGTGCTTCTTATTTTGGCCTTTGACAAATGAAGCCGCATGTGAACAGCCAGGTGCGGGAGTAGTCGCAGGAGAAGTAGGCTGAGATTCCTATCATTTTAAGTAGCTACACATTTTCAGGTTACGCAATCCTAGGCTCAAGGTGCCTGAAAGCCATCCCCGCCCAAACCACCCTGACTTTACTCTTAAGGCGGTTAACAGCCTTTGAGTGGTGCTATTCCTAATAGTTACGTATGCTCAACCAAACTAATGTGAACACATGTGTTTATGTCTCACAAAGGCGCTGCAATCACTAATAATCAGCATATTGCCCTTGCCAGGAAAATTATGAGTGTGAGATTCCAATAAACACCCTGAACTATAAGGGACTGAAGTAGAAGAGTGGAAATTCTAGGGGTACTATTCCCATGTTACTTAAAAGAAGGATTTAGGTTTTTTTTTTTTTCCAGGAGAGAGAGAGAGACAATAGGACACGACCTTCAGAGCCATATTGCAATGGAGTCTATTTGCTAGCTAGCACTGAAATATTTAAAGCTGCAGTGTCCTTCACCAGTTGGTTATTTAAGAAGACAATGCAGATCAATTACACCATTTGAAACTGGGCAAAGTGAAAAGTCTTGCAACTTTAATGAAAAATGAGTCTTGTGCCTTGGTATTAAATGCCAATGAAAAATCCAGGAAGTGCTCCCGACAGAAATATTGAATGGAGAAGGCGCCCTTGTTTCTCTTTCTTTCTCAGATAGTCTGTACTTCAGCAGTAGGGAGGGTCCTGGACACTTTGCATCAGAAAGGGGTGCCGAGAGAGTGTGTTCATTGGGAGCCTTTGCTCTCTGATAGGCACTTACCAGCACCTGTGAATTGATTTGTCCATATGCTTTTAGGCTCTGATATGAGAGAAAATCTGGGTGTGGTGGTGAAAGCTTATAGTTCAGCCCCAAGGCTGGGCTGTAGGATTGGGAGTTCCAGCTCAGCCTGGGTTACTGATAAATTTTGTCTCAGGAAAGGAAAGAACAGGAATCCTTTGACCCTGCTGATAGGTGATAGACTGGCAATTTGACCAAGGTAGAATCTGGTACAGTTGGAGCCTTCAGTGTGCTCATCTTTACCTTTTTGATGTTTGGGCGTGGGTCCTATCATGACGAAGGAAATTGGATTTTTGAAAACAATGTCTCAAGGCTATAGCAAGAATTTTTGTTCCTGACAGTTCAAGGAGGTCTATGAAACCTCCAGGTTGTGTTTAGTAGGAGTTTTGTTTGGGTTTGGGGGCTTTTTCTGGGTGGTGCTCAGGCTGTGGAGCTACACTCTTAGTCTCAAGGAGAGGCTTCAGTGAGCACAGCTCTCACACAATTTCTAAAGGGTCTTCCAGGTATGGAGATTTTAATATTAAGGTACAATTTTAGTTTTCTCAAAGGGTCTTATGCTTATCTCAGAATAAGCTGTTTGTTGAGGATGACCTTGAACTCCCAACCCTCCTGCCGCCACCTTCCAGGTGCTAGGGTTATAGACTTCTGCTGCCATACTAATTTCTTTCCATTCTAACACTTATTTTAATTGATGGAGATGCTTTGCAATGTCATTAATTCTGTAGGCTGAGAACGGTGAGAAGGACAGGAGATGCTGGGGTTGGCACTTTGGAGGAAAGGCCATCTGCCTTGACAGGTCTCATTTTATTCTGAGGCTTTCTATCCAAATCCACTCAGAGAATATAAAATGTTTAAAACAATCTGTGTGTGTGTGTAAGTGTGTGTGTGTGAGTGTGTGTGAGTCTCATTTTATTCTGAGGCTTTCTATCCAAATCCACTCAGAGAATATAAACAATCTGTGTGTGTGTGAGTGTGTGTGCGCACGCGCGCACGTGCACTCAAGAGCAAGTACACTTGAGCTTGCATGCCTGGTGTATGTTTGGAGGTCAGAGGAAACCTTGTGGGGTCTGTTCTCTCCTTCACCTTTATGTGGGTTCAGGGATCAAACTAACAGGTTTTCAGTCTCCTTAAATTCTTGTCTTGAATTCTCAGGAGTTTATTTAATTGGAATACCATTAGGTTTTTTTTTTATCCTTACTTATTTTGAAACATGAGCTCTTTTTACATTGCCTACAGTGGTGCTGAACCCTTGGCTCAAGTGGTCCTCTTACTTCTGCCTCCCGGGCTAGTGAGACTACAGTTGTGATGTCATATCTGGCTATCAGGATGATCAGCCTTTATTTACCAGCACCTTAAAAGGGGGTGGGAACTTCTGTTGGTGAATACCTTTGATCCCAGCACTCTGAGTATCTCTGAGTTCCAGGCCAGCCTGGTTCTACAGAGCAAGTTCCAGGACACCCCAAGGACACAGAAAAACCCTGTCTTGAAAATAACAAAGATGTCTGGAGGTGGGGGCTGGAAAGTAATATAATCCAAAATTTCACCAGTGGTGGATGGGCCAGAGATAGGACTCTGCTGGTAAAGTGTGAGTTGTGAAAGCATGTGAGTACATGAATTTTGTTCTGAGACGTCTGCATAAAAACCTCGGTGTTCTGGCCCATGCTGGTAACCCTAGCTCTGGGGAGGCAGGAGGGTCTTAAGACCTGCTGATCAGTGGGCTCCAGGTTCAGTAAAGCAGGATGCTGGGTCAGAAATTAGTGAGATCCATAGAGGAAGACACCAGACACACACACACACACACACACACACACACACACACACACACACACACACAATCCCTGATAATGAATGAGTAGTAGTAGTATGAGGATTGCCAGTGTTTCTCAGCAAACTATTGTGATGCTAGCAAGAGCAAAACACCTTTGTACTTTTTTTTTTAAAAATGGGCAAAAATGATCGAATCATTTGGCATTTAAAATTACACATTTTTGGGCTTCAAAAATTATATACCCTCTGTCTTATTTCTATTTCTTATTTGAAATGGTCCTTTAATGTTAGATTTATTTTTAGTTTTTATTCATATGTACGAGTCTGTGTGAGTATATGCTATGCATCTGCAGGTGCCACCCTAGGCTAGAAGAAGGCATCTGATTCCCTAAAGCTAGAATTATGTTCAGTAACCTTCAGATGTGGGTTCTGGGAATTGAACCTGGGTTCTCAAAGAGTAGTAAGTGTTCTTACCTGCTGCACTTTTCCAGCTGGGCCTAAAGTTTTTGAAGTAAGGTTCCATTAAGAGTAGTTAGACTGAGTGCTGCACACCTGTTTGCAGTCAACAGACTGAGGCAGGAAGATGCCTTGGTTTACATGGTGAAAAACGTGTTTTTGGTTTTGTTTTTTTAGGGTCTCTCTACATTGATAGTCCTGGCAATTCTGGAATGCACTATGTAGACTAGTCTGGTCTTGAACTCATAGAGCTCTGCCTGCCTCTGCCTCCAACTACCCAGCATTGGGATTAAAGATGTGTGCCACCATGCCTGGCAAAAACTTGTTTATTATTATTATTATTTTTTTTGAGATGGGGTTTCTCTGTATTGCTTTGAGGTTATCCTGGAACTTACTCTGCAGACCAGGCTGGTCTCGAACTCACAGAGATCCACCTGCCTCTGCCTCCTGAGTGCTGAGATTAAAGGCTTGTGCCACCAGCACCCAGCATTTTTTGGCTTTTCAAGACAGGGTTTCTCTGTGTAGTTCTGGCTGTACTGGAACTTCTTTTGTAGACCAGGCTGATCTCAAACTCAGAGATCTGCCTGTCTTTTCCAAAAGCTGGGATTTAAGGGCATTCCCCAACACAGCCTGGCAAAATCCTGGTCTTTAAAAAATATTTTTGACCCAGGACTCCTGTAATTTTAGCACCCAGCAGGCTGAGGCAGGAGCCTTACCAAGAGTTTGAGGCCATCCTAGGCTACAGGGTAAGATCTTACTTCAAAACCAACAAACCAGAAGTATAACTAGAACCAGAGAAATAACTTGGTTGTGCATACTATGCCAAGTATGCTTTTTGTTTTGTCTTTAAATTTTGTTTTATGTGATGTGTGTTTAGCCTGCATGTATGTCTGTGTACTCCCTCCATGCCCTTGTCCTAGGACTGCAGTAACAGATGCTTGTGGGTGCTTGGCATTGTACCCAAGTCCTTTGGAGTAGCAACCAGTGCCACTTCTCTAGCCCCATATCAAACATGTTTAAAAATCAAAGTGTCTTATTTAAACCAGTTCTCTAGGACTGGGTATCTTTTGTTTCTTTAAATTTAGGTTTTCTTTGTGTTTTGTTTTATGAGACGGGGTTTTACTATGTAGTTGTGACTGACCTGGAGCTCACAAAGATAACCAAGGCTCTATGCCTTTCAAATGCTAGAGTTAAAGCTTGCCTGATTTTTGTTTTGTTGTTGTTTGGAAATAGTCTCACCATTAGCTAGGGTAGGCCTAGAATTTGCTATTTTCCTACTTCCTCCTCCTGAGGGCTTATATTACTGGAAGGCATCACCACATCTGGCCTAAACTGAGAAGTTTATTTCATGGCTTGCCTGTTTTTAAAAAGACTTTCATTTTAATTGTGTACATATGTACACCTTGGTGTCCACAGGGTTACAAGGTGATATTGGAACTACTGTAGCTGTAGTTGCCCAACTCCCTAAGTGCTGGGAATCAAACTCAGTCCTCTGCAAGAGCAGTATGTTTCCTTAACTCATGATCCCATTTTTCAGTTTTTAATTCACTATTTATTTAGTTAGTTATGAGATAGAGATGGATTCTGTAGTCCAGGCTATCCTGAATCCCACTTTATAGCTCAGGTTGGCCTTGAACTCAGAGATCCTTCTGTC